AAGATGGTCTTTTCGTAACTGCCCGATTTTTTGACGGCGGCAGGTGCCGCCTCCGCTAACAGAAAAGATACCCGAAGTGTATGTATAAATACTGCCACTTGGACTATCGAATGTTTCAACACCTATTTTCATCCATTGCAGAAGTACTCCCAGCAGAATTAATCTATATTATCTTTAAACGTAACATGGTGACCTGGAAATGCGTTGATATAGCCATACACGCTGGTTACTCAGCTGTGCATACTTTACTGATACTCCATATTGTATAAATGGGTCATTTGCGGTTAACAAAGCAAAAAACTGGAGATCATTCTAAGTAATAAACTGTTATATTAGTAATCAGCAAACTATGCGAATGGACTAGGAACGTCGGTTGGTTAGAACGCAAACTTTGAACACTGCGCGCTTCTGATATTGTTAGTGGGACCTCTCTATGAGATGAGAGATTAAAATCCATATCCGTCCCATGAATTTCAGCTAACTTTAGTAAGATTATGCACACTGATGACCCGATACGTAAATTATTTATATATATTATATTATATATATAATATATATATCATGCATTATACTTCGTAAACTTTCAAAAATTATGGATTTGACGGTGCTTGTAAACCGGTATCCTTCATGTTAAACCCGTTAAATGAAGACAACATTTATTATTATCTGAACTTTACCACTCTATGTACGCTGTAAAGCAATATTTCTTTGTTCGTTTCTTAACTAGCAGGACCTTCCGCAGTTTTTAATTGAGCTTAATGACACTCCCTCGGTACCACTCAGGGCTCAAGTTTTGTGGATATTTTGAGATGTATCAACTTGATGAAGCCTGTAAACTGGCTTCTCATGCTTAACTTTTTTAACGTGAGAACAAAACATTTATTTACTTATTTATATTGAGCGAAGTACCACGGCAGATTCAATGTATTTTTCAAAGGACATGGATCTCCAGGTTCATTGAAACGTCAGGATATACTGTGGAGACAATAACAACAATGCTCATAACAATGTACCAGCTTCCTAATGCAATGATCTATTTTTGTTTGTTCATGCTAAATTGGACGTATGTCCACAGTAGCCTTCACGGTGCTCTGCATTGTGCCCAATAGCTCGGTGAACATCAGTCAAATTCCTTTGAGTTTCGAGGTCAAGTCAAGGAATCCGTTCCAGTAGATAAATTTGTAAGTGTTTTTCTGCATTTTTGTTCGCTGTTTACAGCTGCAATGGACGAAATGCCGCCAGCCAATGAAACATTGATAAATAAATGTCAAAGGACTTCAAGTAAGTGTCTTCGCGTTATGCCATAAGGGTGTTCATCGCAGGCAGCAGGAATGTAGAGAAGTTGCTTGAAGACAGTGAAAGACTGACGAAACACCTTGATCCCAATCTAACTGCAGGTTTCCAAGATTCTATTTATAACAAGAATAGAAAAAAACAGAGGGTGGGGTACCAAGGCACAAGGAAGTTAATTATGTGTAAGTTTTAACTTATGTACATGGTGTCATGCCTGCCATTAAATGTATAGTTCTAGGTTTCATGTTTATATTCTTATTAAAAATATTCTGTTCACTATGTTTTGGAAGTGTCATTTTCAGGGGGCTACATCCGGAGATGTCCCCAGAAGTGGTGGTAATAGGTGGGAGTATAGATGAACAACTTAATTACCGAAGTAGCCCTAATTGTCCCTGGGATGTGATAGGGAAGAGTATAGGTTTACCGATGAGGGTGTGTCACCTCATACATTTAAGAGGCCTATTATGCTGAGCGTTGTGAGACATAGTTGTGACTCGCTCTGTATGTTGGGGAGTTCGGCGGAGAATAGGAATCTTTCTGACGTATGACTGCACTGGACAGTTGAGCTCGAAGCTCTGATGTCAACAGGATGATGTCTCACACTTTCGAGTATTTAATAGGGAAGAAGTTAGCTTGTAGGGATGTCCTAAGAGATTGCGAAGACTGTGGCAACCTTCTGGTGTGAAACGGGCTTCTTTGCTGGCTGTAAAGGATATTTTGTGTAAAATCTTGAAGGAATGTATAAGGCTAGTCTTAGGACATCTCATTCAAAGTGGTTGCAGACTAGGCGACGTACGCCAAGATGCATAATTCTGACCACATTCGTAACCAAGTAGCCTGAACGTAAAGTACCCTTGCACACTGTCAATCTTAAGTTTGTCGTCTATACGGACACTCCGTAAACTAAACGAACAGCATTCTAACATGGTTTGGAGGCAAGTTTTGTAGAGCAATAATTTGGCTTTGTGGTGATGAAAGTTGTGAATAATACGGCCTAGTAGTATTCTGGACTTACGGGTTTGTGTCGCAATACGTTCAGAGAATGCAAGGTCGTTAGAGTAACGGAGCCCCAAGCCAAGAACTCTACGGAGACTAGGTAGTATCGCAGTTTGCAGAGACATCCGCAGACGACTGGATAGTGCTCCAGACCACATACAGCAGCACTTATCTAAGTCGAATTGGAGGTTTTATGTGGTGGGCCAGGTGGTTACTAGGTCAAGTTCTCTCTGTACTAGCCTTTGGAAGTGGGGCAGATCGTTACACGAGAATGTGTGCACAACCTTTAGATAGTCAGTAAACAGAAACGGCTTACCAACCGAAAAGCACTTGCAAAGGTCATTAACATAAAGGGTGAAAAGAAGAGGACCGAGCACGCTACCCTGGACTGCACCAGGAGTAATGAGCATGGGCTTAGAAAGCTGAGGCTCGACTTTTACAGCTTGTGATCGGTTACAAGGAAAAGAATTAATCCAGCCTAATAAGCCGGCCTGCAGCTTTTGACTAGGCAATGAATGGTCCATGCGGTCGAATGCCCTGGAGATAACAAATTAAAGGACAAGGACCAGTTTACGTTGACCACGGCTAGCAGTTAAGGAGTTGAAGAAATCCAAGTGATAGGTCGTACATGGTCGTGGCTTCAAGAATCCATGCTGACTAGGTGTGACGACAACATTGTTGAGCATGTGTCGAAGGATATCTTCTTTAACTACTTTCTCCATAATTCTAGATACAACTGGCGGGATATTTATAGGTCTGTAGTTGTTAACTTCAGTTTTTGAACTAGATTTGTGTCTGGGTATTATGAAGGACATCTTCCATGTATAGAGGTATGTAGAAGTCTCCATGGATATGGAGTATAGTTAAGGTAGCAGTAAGAAAATGTCGGGACCCCCATTTTTGAAGAAGTATGAAGCTATTCTGTCAGTGCCTGTGCTCCATGAGAGCTTAAGTGTTTTAATGGCCCATGTGAACTCAGTAGTGCCAATAAGTTCAAGTGTAGGAGGGGAGAATTATTAGCTAATTTTGACGAAATTCAAATTATTGGCAAAGATTAATGGCGGTAAGTAGCTAGCAGTGAATATGTTACCGAACAATCCACTTATTTTCACGGGCTCATTATAGACCTCACCAATGTGAGAAAAGGAATATAACACTTTCGCCGGTTGGATCGCTTCTTTAGAAGCTACACGAGAGCGTATACCTTGGAGCGGCCAGTGAGTGAGCTGGTTTCATCATTTTTTGCTGTCGTCTCGTGATAACCACGGATGGAACTAAGGAAATTAAGAAGAGGTCTAAACGCCCCAGGGTCATGATACTTGAAGTAAGTTGCTGAACGCTTCTGCAGCTTTCGACGAACATTTTCAGGTACAAAAAGCTTTTTTGACATAACATTTTCTGATTTCTTCAAAGAAGCTATGATGTCAAAGCAGGCGCAGAAATTAGAATATGGCATACTCGATGCCCTAGGAAGGAGGAAGAAAGAAGGTAAGGAATGGATCTCGACGGACACATGGAAGCCGATAGAGTAGGGAGAGGAGGATGGTGAAGCAGAAGATAAACCAGTGCATGGATGCTCAACGACAAGAGGAACTGAGTACAATGTATAAAGCACTGGACAAAGAAGTGAAGAAGAGTGCACGCAAAGACAAAAGACACTTCTACGAAACACTGGCAAGTTAAGCAGAACAGACTGGAGGCTGGTAGGAGAGACCTGACAACATTGTATCAAATAACCAGGTTGCTATCTGCAAGGGAAGAGATCAACGCAGACGAAACTAATAAAAGATGATGACGGAAATTTAATTACGAAAGTAGAGAAACAAAAGAAACAATGGGCCGACCACTTCAAGAAGCTCTTGAATCGACCACCACCTGCACCCGCTGAACTACAAGTGAACATGAATCCTCCAACAAAAGTCGAAGTCCTGAGAGCCATAAAGCTACTGAAGCTACGGAAAAGCAGCAGGACCAGATGGAATACCGCCAGAAGCACTGAGAGCAGACGCAGAAACAACAGCGGATATGCTCACACCACTATTGCAGCTGTGGATAATATGGATACCGATGCGTCCATTCGGTCAAGAACACTTTGGTCTACTTCTTATACGCCAACAGTTTAAATACGCCTATTCTCGAGGTGCTCGCAGTACTGGTAACAGTAACAGTAACAAGTGAGTTGGTACACATATGAACACTTCTCTTACACGATATGATATACTACTGAGACGCAATTAAAACGAAGTATACAAAGAGGAAACCACTTCTTCATATCCTTACAATGAAACAAACATGAAATAATGTGTATTTCGTACAGTCTTTGTAGTCATTGACGACAGAAACTTAATGAGTCGAAGAAAGTTGAAATTCATTTTCTCTTCTACACAGAAACAAATAGGGAAATAAAAGACCAAGATAAGGTTAACCAATGACGAGGTGATATTCAATAAGATACAACGAAATTCTTGTAGAAATCTCAGGTCATACGAATATGGCATCATATCACTGCGAATGCCTAAACTGTTTTATGCGGGTCTTGACTTTATGTGGTCCTAATATCCATCTAATGGATTTAAACAAGTACTACGACTTCAGCACAAGTTGTCCACCAAATTAACTTCAGTACAAAATGATCACAGAACAATTTATTAGTGAGCACGTGCCATTATTCCGTTCAGGTATGGTTAATTTTTCATATTACAGATACTATTATGCAGGAACGTAGGCGTCCTCTAAAGGTTCAAGGTGCCAGACAAGAGCAAGATACTGATCCCTTAGAATCAGTTAACAAAACAGTCATCCAAAAATACAAAAGAATAACGATGAAAACTCTAATTAAACGAACAATAATATCAATATTCACATTGAGAATAATGACGATAGAAAGAAGAATAGACCATATGAGAGAAGCAAAGCAAAGCTCACTTCTTTTCGTTTTCTATTTTAAAATTCATCTCAAGGTTTGCAATAAAGACAAAAGGGAACGACAACGGGATCCTGACTCCTTTATAATCTCAGCCATACTCGAAGACGCCTCAAGCTACCGACTCATGTGAATTATGAAGCTCTGTCAACAAAGTCATCATGCACAAACAAATGACAAATGTATACAACTGTCCTCCATTTCATGGGCTCATTTCGTAAGTGGTGCACAAGTTTGAACCTTTCAGCTAGTCCCAACATTATCATAATACTCGATATGGAGTTTCATGCGACGATATACGTAAAGTGAGTTCCAGCTACTGGAACATATGCTTGACCGTAATTCAATCAAATGAACAACGTGTCAACACACAAAATAAGAACTCACAATTAATCATGCAGTATCACCACAAAGTAACCTCGCCTGGTTAACTAGTTCACTAGTTACTAGCCGGTCCTAAGCCCGGGTAAAGAGGGAAGGTTGGGCATAGGACTAGCAACCCTACCCCATAAAATAAGTCCAACCGCTACAGAAACTTCAAAGCACAAATAAAATGTAGAAAATCAAAACAAAATTATTCCTCGCTGGAATCGGAGAGACGAAATGACGCCGGTTGGCCGATGTGTCTCTCTCTCTCGATGAAAGCGAAAGTAAACGTGGGGACATGGAATGTCCGCACCATGTTTGAACCCAGTAAGGCAGCCCAGATTGCAAACGAGATGAGAAGGTATCATATTGAAGTGCTGAGAATTTGCGAAAGCAGATGGAATGGAAGTGGACTCTCCAAACTGTCAACTGGAGAATCAATAATCTACTCCAATATTGTCACCCAGACGACAACCAAGAAAACACTGAGGAAATGGCTATCATGATGTTCCCAAGAGCATCGAAGGCTCTCACGCAGTGGGAACCAATCTCCTCCTGCAGGATCATGATAGCAAGGTTCAACTCAAAAGGAAGGAAGGTCGCAATCATACAATGCTACGCACCCAAAAATAATGCAGAGCAAGAGAAAATGGAGGAATTCTACAGACAACTCCAATCAACACTGGACAAGACATCAGTTGGTGACATACAAATCCTAATGGGCGACATGAATGCCAAACTCGGAGCGGACAACACAGGAAGAGAACTAACCATGGGTCGAGAAGCGCTAGGTGAAATGAATGAGAATGGAGAATTGTTTGCAGAATTCTGCGCATTCAACGATCTGGTGATTGGAGGCGAGGCACTGTGTTCAAGCACAAGGATATCCACAAAGCGACATGCATTTCATCAGATGGACACACTAAAAATCAGATCGACTTCATCTCAACCTCAAGAAAGCGGAGACGCAGCCTACTTGATACAAGGTCAAGAAGAGGAGCAGATGTAGGTTCAGACCACTCACTATCTAGTGTAGGGAACCTTCAAAATCAAGTTAAAAGCCTTCAAGGAAGCTAGCGATAGACCACAGTTCAAGTACAACACTCGGAAACTGAAGGATGAAACTACAAAGGAGATCTTCACGTCAGTCATCAAGACAAAATGGGAGATATCGAGGAACATCCCTGAAGAAACCTGTGTGGAAGAACACTGGAAGTCTTTGAAAGAGGTGTGGAAAGAAACCTGCACAACAGTATTAGGAAGGAAGAAGAAAGAAGATAAGGAATGGATCTCGACGGACACATGGAAGCCGATAGAGTAGGGAGAGGAGGATGGTGAAGCAGAAGATAAACCAGTGCATGGATGCTCAACGACAAGAGGAACTGAGCACAATGTATAAAACACTAAACTGGACAAAGAAGTGAAGAAGAGTGCACGGAAAGACAAAAGACACTTCTACGAAACACTGGCAAGTTAAGCAGAACAGACTGGAGGCTGGTAGGAGAGACCTGACAACATTGTATCAAATAACCAGGTTGCTATCTGCAAGGGAAGAGATCAACGCAGACGAAACTAATAAAAGATGATGACGGAAATTTAATTACGAAAGTAGAGAAACAAAAGAAACAATGGGCCGACCACTTCAAGAAGCTCTTGAATCGACCACCACCTGCACCCGCTGAACTACAAGTGAACATGAATCCTCCAACAAAAGTCGAAGTCCTGAGAGCCATAAAGCTACTGAAATTCGGAAAAGCAGCAGGACCAGATGGAATACCGCCAGAAGCACTGAGAGCAGACGCAGAAACAACAGCGGATATACTCACAGCACTATTGCAGAAGGTATGGAAGGAAGAGAAGGTACCTGGCGATCGGAAGAAGGGTTACCTTGTCAAACTTCCGAAGAAGGGAGACCTCAGTGTTCGCAAGAACTGGCGCGGAACCACGCTCCTGTCTACCCCAAGCAAAATATTGAGCCGCATCATCTTGGAGAAACTGAAGGATGCACTGGATTCAAAACTACGACCGGAACAGACTGGATTCAGGAAGTACAAATCATGTGAGGATCAAATTGCAACGCAACGCTACGCATCATCATAGAACAGAGTATAGAATGGCAGTCAACTTTACCTGCACCACAACTTCATCGACTTGAGAAGGCCTTTCACAGCGTCGACCGAGAGCTAATTTGGCAGTTGCTTGAATATTACGGAGTGCCATAAATCTTTATCAACCTCATTCAACAGCAGCTATATGAAGACGACGTCACATGCCAGGTAATTCACAATGGGAAGCTCAGCTCAGTGATGCCTTCGAAGTAAAGACAGGAGTGAAACAAGGCTGTCTACTATCACCCACAATATTCTTCATTGTGGTCGACTGGATCATGCAACAAACAGTGAGGAGCTGTGAGAAGAGGGGGATATGCTGGACCGCAGAAAAGAACCTAGAAGACTTGGATTTAGCCAATGATGACTTATGTCTGATATCACACAAACTCGAAGATCTACAGGCGAAAACTAACAAGTTGACAGAAGAGGCAGCGAAGACGGGACTTCAAATGAACGTAGAGAAGACAGAGGTGATGAAAATATCCAACCAACAACACCAACAACAACAAACTCCAATCACCATCAAGGGGAGAAACTTAAAAGAAATAGCCCCCTTCACCTACCTAGGCAGCACTGTCTCAATTACAGGCGTCACTGACATAGACGAGGGCGTCAAAGCCAGCCAGGATCGGAAAAGCAAGGCAGGCGTTCATTAACCTGAAACCAGTGTCGAGATCTTCCGCACCCAACATGTGGAACAAGATCCGGATTTTCAACACCAACGTCAAGCCAGTGCTTCTGTATGGTTCAGAGACTTGGCGCGCTACGAAAGGCATTTCCAACAAACTACAGACATTCATCAACAACTGACACCTACGCTGGCTCGTTACTGAAGATCAGATGGATTGCCAGAATAATAAGAATAAGCAACAAGGAACTATGGGAACGAACCAACCAAGAACCTATCGCTCAACAAATATGCCGAAGAAAGTGGAGATGGATTGGGCATACACTGAGAAGACCGACTGGGGACATCACGCATCAGGCTCTCGAGTGGAACCCTGATGGGAAGCGACGAGTTGGACGTCCGAAGGTGACATGGAGGAGATGAGAGCTTGTGGGCTGTCGCGGAGCCAGGTTCAAAAGATTTCAGAGAACAGAGTTCAATGGAGACGTGCTACTGAAGCCCTATGTTCTATCAGGAACCCAAGACAAATAATATATTACCAGTATTACTAATACTCAATGCCAGTTCTGGATCAAACGTGTCAAAGTTCATTCCCCATTCACTACTTTTAATCAAAGAACAGACTAGATCCCAGTCTGTCTTTTTATAACTTCGTACTTGAACTGTGAGGGAGTGGGGGCAATATTCACAGTGGCGGTTGAAGGAGGGAGTGGTATTGCACATAGTACTACTTTGTGGTCGCTTCCTCGAAGCTAACACGTGTTGAAAGAGGACGAATATCTCGACATATAACTAGGTCAAGCAGGTCCTCACCCTCTCATCGAATCAGTGACAAATTAATTCCATCCGAATATATCTAAAGTACTTAGGAAACAATCATATGTAGTGGGGCAAATACACGTGTCCCATTTAACTTCAGGTGGATCAAAGTCTCCGCATACAATCTTGTGGTCATACTGAATGGTTGCTGCGTGTTCAAGAGCATCACTGAGTAAGGACTCGTCTTCAAGTAGCATCTCAGATGCTCTGTATATGCAGCCAAGCAGCACCGTTGCATCTTCGTAGTGCACTGTGACCCACGAGGGGTCTTCGATTCTACTTAGCACTACACTTTACAGCCTGAATACACTTATGGTGTTTGGAGGGTATATTAGGCATCCACCTCCTCTCTTATTGCTCTGGTCACATATAAAGGGTGTGTACATTTTGATACCTATTTCATCATCTGGTGTGCTAAGATGACACCATGATTCCATGATTATTATAATGGGCGGTTTGAACAGGAGCGATGTTGTTCTCAGTACTTGCAGTTTGCCTATAACCGACCTGGAGTTAATAAGGATAATTGAAAGGTATGAACAGTAGAAATGCGTGGGCGCTTAAAGATCGGTGAAGAGGGTTGGAGGTATGCCAGGAGCCCATATCCGAGTATGATCTGACACCGCATCACATGAGTTACTGCCATTTACAGCTTCAATGGTTGGGGGGAGACGATTTTAGCGATGAAGAAGTGGGGTCAGTTGAGCCACTTAGTTCACCTTGAACTTGGTGCGAGGGCGGGGTAGAAAGTTGTTTTGTAGCCTCACTTATGTCTGAGGACAAGTGTGTCAGATGAGCGGTTTCTCCTTCATACGTTAGTTGAGCGTAGCTTATCTAGTGCTTAAAGTGCCAGGGAAAGACACATTGTCCAGAACCCCTACGCCTACCATTGTAGGTAGGGTATATGAACTGGATCTGGCTGGAAAAAATGGTTGTCGTATGATCGGCCGTTCAGCGAACTATTATTGGGAGGAAAACCTCATAATCCGGGGGCAATAATATTGTTTGGGAAGCGACGTCCTTGCAGCGCACTGTAACTTAGTGGGCCACCTCGACTGCTACGGGCCCTATCGTATTGCCTGTGTCCCATAAAGTTGCAATCATATGGGTCAG